GTGGCTCAAGCGGTAGCGCACTCGCCTGGCATGCATGCGGCCCGGGTTCAATCCTCAGCACCACATACAAACAAAGATGTTATGTCCGCCAATAACTAAAAAATAAATATTAAAAAATTCTCTCTCTCTCTTCTCTCTCTCTCTTTAAAAAAAAAAAACAAACCCAACTTAATACCAAAAGGGTGTCAATAAAATAATTACTACTAATTTAATTATATAACTTAACCAAAACACAAATTTCTTTTCAAAGAAAGCATAGGTGCTTAGTGCTAGTTTGCAAATTCGGGCTTAATCTAAATGGTAGTGATGATTCCTGAAATATGGCTTAGCTGTAGGGGCTGATTTGAAATACACAATATGAAGCATCTTCCTTTTTATTTCATATTTATTCTGCAATACACCTTGAGATACAGTTTCAGACATAAAATATATATGAGGGTATCCTAAAATCACTAAGTGTTGGCATCTTCATTTATTTTCTGAAATGCTCATAATGAGCTGTGAAATACTTTTCCCCCTCATTTTACAGATGAGGAAGCTGACACTCAATATTATTACTAATTTGCCCAATGTCACATAGATAGAATTCAAATCTAAACCAAACTACCTTCAAAAAATCACTTGCCAATATCTTATTACTTACTTCAAGAGTAAAACTTTTATCTTTACTGGGTGACTCTCACTTTGTAATTGAAATTCTGCCCAAACTATAATACTTTAACGAGGAATGTTGTCCACAGCTTTTAATTTTCCTTTCTTTTTCTTTTTTTAAAATTAGTTATACATGACAGTACAATGATCTTGACATTTTAATTTTCCTTTCAAAGAAAAGAAAGAATTGAAGCACCTAGTTTTAAGTTTTAAGAGCTTTTCAAGTATGTATGCAACAAATGCACATAGAGGTAAAACTTGCTTTTTGACTAAGCTAATTGTACAAATCAAATACAAAATTAGTATTTACAGCAGAACTCTGTATAAAACTAATTTATTTTGGAACTTACCCACAGCAATTAATCATTGGGTATCCTTATTATAATAACTCAAAGAGAAAAGCGCCATTATAGTGGGCTTTAAATCAAATGGCTTTCTAATCATTGATTTATGGTCTATATCTCTAAGAATTTCACTTTAGTCAAATAGGTTTTACCAGCTTTTTCATCAAAGTCATTATTCACTTTTTGGCACTAGTAGATTGTAAGAGCCCTTGCCTTATATGTTTTTGTATCTTCCCTAGGGGCCCAAGCCCAATGTTGGGCACACAGTAGGCACATCGTGATATCTGTTGAATATGATGTTCATTCAACTTCCTGTAAAGTCAATGCATATTATTTTAAAATTTGACCCACAGCATATTCTCAAAGACTCTAGAAATGTGAGAAATTGCTGTAGTACTCTGCAGACTAAGAAGGAAACCTGCTGGCATTAGCAGCACTGCAGATTCAGCCTTTAACAAAAGGCAGAGTCCATTAGTAGAAGGCACTAGTTTAGTTCCTATTCCCTTGGATTAAAACATTTTACTAAAAACTGTCAGGTAGAAACAAAAATTACCTCTAACACGCACCATTTTTTTTTTCCTTTTTCATGATTCCACAATACAGTACAATCTCTTTCACTGTTCTGTACAGGTAATGCCAGCACCTCTGAAGCACTGGATTGCAGTTTAAATTTGGGGGTCCAGTAAAGACATGAAATGTCCATAATTTTGTGGAAAGTGACATTGTGGCTTCTCTGTCTTCTGTCTGTAAATGCAGGCTGTTTTGCCAGGAAGAGAGAGAAAAGAAGGTTGCTTGTGCTTTATTTTCACATCTGAAATTGTAATTTTTTAAAATCCAGTTTATAGAAAAACTAAAGACAGAAGAAATAAATTAGAAGATGACTGTTCACATTGTAAAGGGATTCTCCATAAGGTTCCATTAAATACTGAACTCTCTTAGGGCACTGAATTTGAGATTTGATATAGATGCAGCTTTTCTGGAATACATTTCTTGTGTAAAGTAAGGTATAACCATATATTCTTCCTAACTGTCCTCCAAGCACAATCCAGAATCTGTTTGCATTTATAGGGCAGGGGAATAAACAGTGCTTATTAAGGAAGTCAAAGTCAATGGCTCTCTGAACTACCCTCCTTTTCCCAGAGGGTTTTTTTTTTTTTTTTTTTTTTAATCTGGGGATTGAATCCAGGGGCACTCTACCACTGAGCTACACCCCAATTCTTATTATTTTATTTTCAGAAGGTGCCCCTAAATTGCTGGAGCTGGTCTGGAACTTGCCATCCTACTGCCTCCGCCTCCTAAGAGGCTTTGGATTATAGGCAATTGTCACCATACCAGCCAGAAGCAAGGTTTTGACTAATGCAACCAAAAAAAGACCCATTTGTGGGCATAGTCCTTCCACTATCTCACACCAATGCTAAAAACAGTGCTTTGCTTCACTTTTGTCCAGGCAAATGTGAGTGGGGCACCTTACGTATGAGATTTTGAGGCTGCACAGGCCACAGATAAGGCCTAACTAAGGCAGATGAGGAAATTCAAAGAAATCTCCTAAAGGCATCTTGTAGCTAAGCTATTTCTTCACATCTGTAAGGAGCATGGAAAGAACCCTTTCTTCACTAGAAACACTGATAACCCATGAACAGCAGAGAACTAGTTGTGCAAAAAATGTAAGAACCAGGGATCTTCCCCACTCCATCCTTGTGCTAAATAATATTAATTGGTAAATCACCTTTTCCTTATAGAGCAAAAATAGGTTTTCGGAGAACTTAGTCCCATGATTTGGCAGTCAGGAAAATGTGCAGAAAAGGATCAAAAAGGTCACATTCAGGGGCAGACAGCCTCACTGCTCAAACCAGCTGGCCAGGTTGCGTATGCTCTTGGGCTGGTCCCCAGCAGTCTGCACAGCTTGGCAGGCCCGGCACCAAGGCTCGTCCCAGAAGGAGGTGATGTGTACTGCGTACCTCCGGCGCCAGTGGAAGTAGCGGCGGTAAACTGCCAGGTTTCGGTCCAGAAAGAGCAGGTAGGTGGCTAGTGAGGAGGCACTAGGGAAGTCGTCTACATGGATGAAGGCGCCTCGCGGCACGAAGCGCTCATAGTTGGCACGATCTGGGCCTAGCACCACTGGCACGGCCCCAGCCAGCAACGCGTTGCGCCAGAGTTTCTCGGTGATATAATCCAGGTGCTGCGAGTTCTCAAAAGCCAGGTAAAACTTGTAACGGGCTACAGTGTGTAGAAGCCCGCTGTCAGGCACGGGCCGCCCTGGCCCTCCCTGGCCAAACACATCCACCCGCACATGCTGGCTCAGCTGGTGGTAGTAGCGGACCCTGGCCTGTCGCTCGTCCCAGTTGCTCACCACCCAGGCCACCAGCCCCCGTTTTTGGGCCAGCGGCGGTACCTGACCTATCGGCTGGTCCCTAGGGTGGCTCCTGGGATACAGGTAGCCATAAGGCACGAAGATGTCTGAGTCAGCCCGGTAAGAGAGCGTCCAGTTGAAGAGGTTACTTTCCAGGCTCCGAAGCCCCGGAGAGTGGGAGGGCGACTCGAAGTTCATCCACACCCAGCGCTGGCCCGGGGGCCTGGGGCTGGAGATCGCCAGGGCTTCGGCGGCAGCCGCCGCTTCTTCTTCCAGGTCATCTAATACTCGCAGCTCCAGCTCCTCTGCTGTGCGCACCTGGATGCCCCAGGGCGGGGGCCAGTCGGGGGGTCCTCTCACGAGGTCACGGTGGTGGAAAAGTACGGCATGAGCCTCTCCATAGGTCGAACGGTCGGTAAGAAGGCGGCAGCCGCTGATGTTGAAGCGCAGCCGGCAGTCAGGTGTCGGCCTTGATGCGGGGCCGCGACCCCCGAAGGGCTCCCACCAAAGGAGCACGCCCACTGGCCGCAACTGAGCCGGGGACGCCCAAGGTAGCGGCGGCAGCTGTCCCCAGCAGGCGTAGGCTACCAGAGCGGTGCACATCAACCCGGCGGCCGCCACCGCCAAAGCGCTCGGTGGTAGCCCCAGGCCTCTACGCCGCCCGCGCCGCCCGCCGACCGCGGGGCCCCACGGCATCCCCATGGAGCGCACAGGCTGAGCCGGCACCGCTTGCCGCGCGTCCGCAGGCGAAAAGGGGTGGCATCGACTCTCATCCTGCCGCTGCGGCTCCAGCCGTCTCTGCCGGTCGCCGCCAGCCAGGGAGCAGGAGGGGGCGGTCCCGGAATCCAAAGGCCTTCGGGCCAGGCTAGCCTCCTCCCGAGGGCCGGGCGCGCGACGCGTCGCCAGTGCAGGTAAGCGGGCCGGGCAACCCAGCTGGGCGTCGCTCTGTCCCTCCCCTCCACAGTGCCCCCAGCTCAGGCAGGCCTGGCCTGGGGTTTCCTGCTTCGCCTCTGCCCACACTCCACCCCTTCCAGTGCTCCCGGGCTCCTAGACAGAGTCCCACAGGAGTCTCATCCGGATCTGTTTTCCAGGGGTCGCAGCTTCTCTGTGCGAACCCACGGTCCGGGTCTTGCGCCTCGACCCCTCTTTCAGCTGTCACCGGAACCTCACTCACCGTGGCCTGAAACTTAATCTTCTGGAGTTAGGGCTCAGTTCATCCCTGGGTGCGTGCAGGGGTCTTGAGATCCTCCTGAAGCCGCTGCGGCACGAGAGCAGGCTGAGGCACGAACTGCAGGCGTTCCGGGAGCTGGGCCTCCGCTGGGCTGAGGATCAGAATCCGCTTCCTCCAGCAGGGCTCTGCTACCCGCCAGCGACTCCCTCCGGAGAGAGGGAGAGAGGGAGGGAATCAGAGAGGCAACCCTAGAGACCGCTGGAACATGCCGGCAGAGGTGGTGGTGGTGGTGACCTCGTGGCTTGCAGAAACCGGCCAGCTGTGGAGTCAGCCCCTGAGACTGGGCGAACTGAGATTGGGCGTTTTGTGAAATTAAGTTTTCAATGCGAGTGGTCCTAAGAACATACCCTTTGCCTATAGCCCCAACAAGAGGATAGAGAAGAACAAAATGTTATTTGAGCAATGAAAACTTGTTCTTTCCTTACTTCCCCACAGAATATTTCTGACTGCTGGCTGATAGCATTTCTTTCTTTTCTTTTCTTTTTTTTTGGGGGGGGGGGAGGGAGTGTGTACCGAGGCACAGGGCTCATAAACCAAAGATAAGATAAGGCCCCTGAGGCCCTTGTCTTTAAGGAACTTACGGCCTATTCATTTGGACAAGTGAATGGACATCGCTATTAATATTGCTCAACACTACAAAACAATTTCTGCACTAATGAAAGTTATGCAAAATACTCAGGACTATATAAGATAAATATTATTGCACCCAAGTTTAGGCTAAACTTTACCTGAGTAAAGGCTATGTAATAGCACTGTCCTCTCCAGATTATCCAGGTTTATCAGTAAGGCAACAATGTATAGAACTGCAAGGATTTTTTTTTTTTTTGCCTAGGACTTAACTTTAAGTTTCTGGGTTAGGGCCTTCATTTATATTACTCATCTTTTATTCCATGGAATTCTAAATAGGCCTGAGGCTGACCCAAAGAAAGGAGGCAGCTTTGAGAAAGCTTTTAGTAAATCACAGCTGTGTAGAGTCTGATATAAATTACAGGATATTAGAAAGCTGGGAATGGTGCCATCACACCCAGTGGTTTGTTTTTGCTTTTTGTTTTGGTATTAGGGATTTAACCCAGAGGTGGTTTACCACTGAGCTACATCCATGGTCCTTTTTATTTTTTACATTGAGATAGGATCTTACTAAATTACTGAGGCTGGCCTGGATTTGGGATCCTCCTGTCTCAGCCTCCCCAGTTGCTGGGATTATAGGAGGGTGCCACCCCATCCAGCCTGCCAATTACTTTTGATGTTATTAGTATCAAAAATAAACATGGATTTTTCATTTAAATTTATATTTTTAATTTCTAACTATTACATAAGAATTGTACATATTTACCATGTGATGTTTTGATACATGTTCACTTTTTGTTATTAAAAATCTGGTGGGGGCAGAGAGGTGGGGCTGGGGTTATGGCTCAGGGGTAGAGCACTCGCCTCACATGTGCAAAGCCCTGGGTTCGATCCTTAGCACCACATAAAAATAAATAAATTTAAAAAGTCATAAAAAAAAAATATGGCCGGGCGTGGTGGCAAATGCCTATAATCCCAAAGGTTTAGGAGGCTGAGGAAGGAGGAGATCAAAACCAGCCTCAGCAAAAGCTGGGCGCTAAGCAACTCAGTGAGACCCTGCCTCAGAATGAAATACAAAATAGGACTGGAGATGTGGCTCAGTGGTTGAGAGCTCCTGAGTTCAATCCCCGGTACTACCCCCTGCCCCCAAAATCTGAAAGTTAAAGCTTCTATGGAAAGTAGTTTTGTTAGGGGACAGACAGATGAGGATGGTGGAAACATGAGGTTAAGAGAATAATTCTATAAAATGAGTCCGCTCTGCTGACCCCCACATGCTTTCTTTTCCAAGAAGCAATTTACCTGCAGCCCTGCCTAAGTGGACAGGATATGTCACATTCCTCAGCAAACTGTTAACTACAGGAGAAATGTAGGCCCAAAATAATGTTGGTAGTAACCCTGAAGGGAAACACTTTTGTGACCAGATCCTGAAAATCCAGGAGATAAGGATGATTCCTCTTTACCATTAAATCTGTAAGAATGTATGGTTAAGAATCCAATTAGATGATCAACACAGGCCAACCTAGAGTTGCCATGGCAGTGGATACTTAAAAGTCTGATGTTATCTTGCTGTCAGTCAAAAGTCAAGAAGTGAGCCCTGGCAGGACTTTCTGCAAACTTGTCTGGGATCCCCAATAAAATGGGAGTGTAGGAAAGACCCATTGTCTCTCTCCTCTTTGGGAGGACCCACTCTCTCCTCTGAGAGGGTCCCCTTTTCCTTTTCCTATCCTTTCAATATACTCATTCCTGTTATTCTGAGTTACATGGCCAAAATCTTTCTGACTTGATCGAAAGATTTGGGGTTTGCAGGGTGTGGTCTTCTAATTGCCTCAGTTTCTGCAAAGGCCCCTGCTAGGTAACAATTTGAGGTGGCTCTGCCTCCCAACCCTCAGTAGCAGTTAAAAGTTAGATGGAAGGTATCAATCTATTATCATTTTCTCCTATGCACTAAAACCTTTTAAATGTTTCTGGGTTTTTTAAATTTGAAAAATAGAAATTAGAAATAGAAATTCAATATTTTAAAATCTAAAACTAGAAACTGACTTACTTTCTGTGTGATGCTAGGGATCAAACTCAGGGTATCAAGCTCTACCACTAAGCTACACGCCTAACCCCAACCCTGTTATTTTATGTAAAAGAAAAACTATGTCAGGCATGGTGGCACATGCCTGTAATCCTATCTACCGTGGAGACTGAAGCAGAAGGATAGCAAGTTCAAGACCAGCTTGGGTACTATAGTGAGATCCCATCTCAAAAAGAAAAAAAAAAAAGGAAAGCTATAAAGTCACAAATAACTTGTTCCAACCAGAAAAAAGGAAAGAATGTATTAGCTTTTCTTTTTTATGCAGTTCAAAAATCAGTACATTTATGCATATTTTTCTTCTACTTCAGTTAAATAAATCATCAGAGGTACAGCACAAAATTGTACCCAGCACATGGTAAATAGGCACTTGGTCAATATTGAGGTCAATATTGACCTGATTGCTTTCTTACTTGCTTTCCTCTCTTGTTTTTAATTTTCCCTTACATCTCCCAAATTTTCCAATAAAACCAATGTTTTACCTGGAGAATGGCCTAGGTTTCATGAACATCAATTTTCATTGTGTCCACTTACTTCATTATGGTTCAAAACCACAAACTTCCCCTACTTAAGACTTTTCTTGGTATCTACTTCAATATATAAGAAATGATTACTATTCTCAAAATTAAGAGATTGGACTAAATGAACTCTGAATCACCTTAGGAACTTAAAGATTCCTTAATTCTTTCTAATTTAGCAACAATAAATCATTGATTTGTGTTTTTAAAAGTTTCTCAATTTCTACAGAACACTACACAGGAAGAACTGGCTTTCTTTCAGTTGCAAGCATGAAGACAACAGCAAGACCAGGTAGGTATAAGGAAGGGATTTGGGATCCTGAGGGTTGCCAAAATGGCATAGAAAAAAAGCTCTGTAACTCAAGGCTCAGTTTGTCAAGGTGAATGAATAATTAGTTAACAATGTCCCAGGGGTGACCTATTGAGATCCAAAATTTTATATAAGACAGAATTCCCTAGTTCATTTTAATCTTAATGTTATTCACCGGAGATTTGATATTTCCTATGAAAACCCTCAAATATATTCTGATTACCTCATTCTCCAGCTATAACCAAACTGTCACTTTAAGTTCTGTGAGACCTGAGCTATTCTCAAAGGGGTTATCTTGGTTTGGATCTGAGATTTCTATGACTGAACATGGGCCTGCTAAATATACTACTATAGTTCAGATCTGGAATGTCTCCCAAAGATTCATATGTTGGAGCTTTGGTCCCTAGTGCATCAATATTCAGAGGTAGGGCTTCAGGGAAGTGACTGGATTATGAGGACTTTGACTTCTTCAGCGGATGAACCCACTGATGGACTGATAATTTCCTGACATTTAGTGGGAAGGGGTGGAAATCTTAGAAGGTGGGGCCTGGTTTGAACAAGTAGGTCACCAGGGTGTGCCGTGAAAGGGTATTTCTTGACTCTGAATGCTTCTCGGTCTCTGCTTCCTGACTGTCATAAGCTGAGCAAAGCTGCTACACGCCCTCCTGCCATAATGTTGTGGCTCACCTCAGACTCAAGGCCTTGGAGCCAGCCGACCATGAACTAAAACCTCAGAAACCTCAAGCCAAAAATAAATTTTTCCCCCTCCAAGTTGTTTTTCTCAGGTGTTTTGTCCCGGTGACAAGAGGTTAACAAATACATATACTTTCAATTTTTTTTTTCTCCAGAAATAAAAAAAGGCAGTTCAAAAGTTTTCCCAGTATTATTTACTTCCTGGAAAATGGTAAAGGGCTAGTGAGCAGGTGTGGTTGAAAGGCAAATAGGCGAGGATTGTTTCCTTTGTTAGGCAAAACTTTTTTTTTTAACTGTAATTGGCCAAATGATAAGGAAAGGGCATTTGGTTAAAAATTGTTAGGAGTTGTGTGAGATTAACAACAACCCTTAATTTATTGCCTGCCCATTACCCTGCTAAAAAACCCTTGGTAGAAGGGCTGAGAGTGTAGCTCAACAGGAAAGTGCTTTTAACGTGTGTGTGTGTGTGTGTGTGTGTGTGTGTGTGTGTGTGTGTGGTCCTGGGTTTGATCCTCAGTATCACATATAAATAAATAAAATAAAGGCATTGTGTCCAATAACACCTAAAAAATAAATATTAAAAAAATAAAAAACCTTGATAAAAAAAGAAATTTATCACCTCTTCTCCTTTTTAATTCAAGTGAAATAATTTATTAGTCCTAACAGAAATTGTTATAGATAGTCAATTTGGAAACTTATTAAATTTATTTTAGAGTTTTACAATTTATGTACTCAAATTCTTCTGGGACATTTACTTGACTGAACAAGTAATGCAAGATTTTGGAATGTTCAGGAAAATGAACATAGTGAAATTTTGATTAAAGTTAGAAATATTTGCATGATATTTAAAATATTTCAATGGTTTACCTCTATATTATTCTTATTAAACTATACTTTCCTAAAACACAGATTCTTTGCAGTCATATGTTAAAGTGATGGAATGCAATACTTACCCAAAAGAAAACTATTTTGATGTTGAGATAAACATGTTAATATTACACAGTGTAGTGCCTGACATATTAATGAGTATTTATTAAATAAATTAATAGATGACTAAATGAACATCATTATTAATTTTATATTTCATGAAACAGTAGTGAAGCAATTCAATTTTTACACTCAAGAAGATAATGCAAAAGACTCTCAATTATAAAATAATGACCATGATAAGTAGTATATCACCAAAGTGTGGAGTAAAAGTTATAAATATCACAAAACCTTGTCCATATCAAATTTCAGTTCTCTAGCACCATCCTCTCTCTCTTCCCCAAGTCTGCTTGAATACTTTATCAAATGAGTTACCACAAATCCTCTACAGTTTCGGGAACTCAAACTTATCTGGTCTGAAATTACTGTGGTACCTGCTCTTTTGCAAGGCTATACCCTCACTCAAGACCCTAACTTAGAGGGGCAACCCAATTCTCTGCAGATCAAAGCAAGATCTTGACTCCCCTCATGACCCCTCTGTCTGACCCCATTCCTCATACAGACCCTGGGCACACTTCAGGAGAGAAGATATGTTGTCCTGTTACATCATTGCCTTGATCAGTAAATTCCTGTCAAGTAGCAGAACAGTGGGTTTGAGGGGCATGATCACACTCACTGCTGTGATCCTTTCTCTAAAAGGAGCCTGGGGCACTTGTTGGAGATTAAAGTGAACAAAATCAGGGATATATAAATGATTTTCCACCCTTCCAAAAAGACCTTTGGACTGTATTTAATCTTTATTGTTTAGTGCAATTCAGTAAACTTTTGGTCTTGGTGTATGTATGATAGAGAGGGGCAGACAGGCAGACAGACAGGCTGTCTAATTGTACTGCAGGAAGTAGTTCTGTCCTGCAGCACCTGTGGGCACTGCATATAAAGAAAGCCTCTTTCTCAGGTGTGTTTGCAGGTCAGATCTAATTTCCTGGATCATCTAAGGCAGTATGGAAATAACAAAAATTCTTCAATGAAAGACAGATTCCATGGTTCCACACCTTTGCAGAGCCCACCATTCTTCATTTCTAACATTGAAAAACTGTCTCACCTCTACGGCTCCCTTTAAGCTCTCCTGGACCCTGTGTTCCAATTTATAGTTTGAGAACTATTAATGGAGACTATTAGTAGATTTTGAAATGATGACCCCAGAATTTTCTGTGTTCCTTTAAAAGATAAAATACTTTGGATTTTCTTTAGTTTTATAGATTATAGCATGACTTCTTTGCCATTACCAGGCTTGTAGAGCTATTTCTAAAGTGTTTCCAAGCAATCCGACACTGGGAATTGTTCAATATTGATATTTGCAGAGCTACATTAGGGCCAGCTTTTGTTTGGGCTTATAAACTTGCAAAAGCTACAACTTTTTTCTGAACAGAAAAAGACCTCTGCCCTTGAGGGACATGCTGCTCTCCTGCTTACCCTACCCATTTGAATTACAGCTTAAAAAAAAAAAAAAAACCAACATAAAGAGTCTAGAGGAGAAGCTGTGTGTTCACCCTCCAGGAACCCTATTCACATGCCTTTTGAAGCAACATTTCCTTGATTACCTTGCCACTTTGAACTTGGATCAAGTGTCACTGTCAGAGCAGAAAGTTATTTTAGGCACCTACCTTTGCAACTTAATAATTTCTGTTTGCCTTCTGATAAGCAAGATTTGTCAGATTGTCAAGAAAATCTTTCAAGTTAAAGGACAGCAAGTTTCAGTTGCAGGAAGGGGACAGACTTGAGTTCTCCACCCAATAGTTTCCACTTTCCCAGTAGTTTCCATTTTCCCCACTTTAGTCATAGTCATAAAATGTGCAATTATAAATTAGAAGGAAGCGCTTTAGCCCACACATGTGTGTTCCAAGCAACAACTATAATTCAGACAGATAAAACTAAAGGCAGCTGTATTATTGAGGATTCTTCTAGTTGTAAATATTATGAATGGAGAAAAATACTAGTCAACAATCCTAGTTCAGGCATATATATATATATATATATATATATATATATATATATTT